CAAAAATAGTGTTAAAAGCAGAATCTTGCTATAAACAAAATACAGTGCAAAAAGAAGGCCAATGTATGTTATTAATACAACAAATTGCTAGAGATATTATGGTGAAGGTGAGACGTCTGAGGCAAGGGCATAGTAACACCTACTCTCCATAGTCTACAAGAGATCTGAAAGACCCTTCTTTCTGTGGAATCCTTAAGACTCTGTCCAGCATAATTTTAAAATCACTGCATTTGATTTATCTTCATAACTACCCCAAGAGCCTGTGTTGTCTCAGAGAAAGCTAAGCCTGAGTGATGTATGGAAATTTGCCCTAGTTCTTCTGCCAGAAATACTGAGTTTTCCAAATCCAAAGTGTATGCCTTTTTTTAAGACGCACTTTTTGTCCACAAGAGAAAATAGCAGCTACATGCTAATAAAAGAGAGATTACCGTAGGAGAGAGTTAATATAGATGATTGTTGAGTGGTCAAACATAATTAATTTGGTGTAATGATTACAGGAATACCTACTTGGACCTGAGAAATGCAGACAATCAAGATCCTATCAGCAACCCTGTAAGATAACAGCCTTCTCTGAATCATTTAAATTAGGGAAAGGTAATTTTTCTGAACTTAAAAATGTTGAGGTTTAAATAAATATGAACATTTTCTAACTTAAGAGTGTGATCATGTGCGTGTTCTGGTCCATTTCACTGGTTTTAAGCTCAGTGTGGGCTTTTCTGTTTGTTGCTGGCAAATCTACCCTTTATTGACTAGCGATGTACCCATATAGCTTTTAGTTAATAGCATTTTAAGGCCATCTCTTTGTGAGAAGAAAAAAATCAGTGTCTTTAATCAAATCATTCACACACTTATATGGAAAATTAAGTGTAAGGGGGAGGATTTTAAACTTTATTTCTGTATCCCCCCCAACCCCCCTTTTTTTTCTTTTTTTTTTTTTTTTCAAAGTAGTATGTTGGCTCGAAGAGGAAAATAAAATGTCAACCTGTTTGGGAAAAAGAAAACCTAAAGACTTAATTATATGCATGATTTAAGGACCTTGAAATCCTGTGAAGAGGGGAAAAGGTTGAGTCTAGAACTCCTGATACATTAATTTTGTCTGGTGGGTGCTTTATAGTAACCACCACCTGTGATGTCATGAGCAAAACTAGCCGGAATATTTAGTTATTTCAACTCTTTGGTTGTAAAGTTGTTGCTAAGTACCAAAAAATTATATTTAGATTACTTATTTTGCAAAATTAAGTTAGTAAAAATTTATTTAGTGGGTTAGAATAAATGAAATTATTCAACACATATTTATAAAAACCCTATTGTACACAGGCACTCTACCAGTTGTTTCAGGAACAAGAGAAAAGATCCCGCTCCCCCAAGTTCCATCGCCTAGTGAGTAGGAACAGATACCCCAACACAATAAATATTAAAAATTATGACTGAAATGTGTTTAAAAACTGATTATCTTTCCATGGGGTTTGTTGTTGCTGTTTGTTTATTTGTTTGTTTGTTTTCGTCTTACTTCAAGCAGATTGACAAGCAGAAGAGGCACATGTTTCTGGGAGCCTGGGAAGAGAACCAAGTCTCTGCCTCATAGTCACACTCTCATGAAGAACCCTTAGTAGTGGTCACACCTGAGGGGAGAAAAACTGTATGATACCTGTGGGGAGGTTGGGCCCTAATGTCTCCAAATTTTTCCATGCGTTTACTGTGGTAAAAAAGACACCGCTCTTACTATGGGAAAGGGACAAGTGAGGTTGGGAAAAGGAAGTCGCATGATATGAGGAATCTCCCTAATCCTCTATGCTAGCTATTACCCCAGGAACTGTCCAGAGCTCTTGTAGCAGGAAACTCCAAATATGATTGAGGTGGAATTTCTCCTCATCACGCAGCAGAATAGATGTTTACGGTCAGAATTAAATTCACATACAGGAAAGCAAATGTGCTGTATCTTTCACACCTGCAACTGAAATGCATACCTATAAAACAGAAACTATTTTTATTGTAAGCCCTATGGAAAAATAAATTCAAGAAATTCAGATAAGCTGATTAAGGAGGGGTCTCTATGTGGATGGTGATTAACCTGAGAAATAGGTTCTTGAAAAGTTGCATAGAGCACCCCATTCAGGCAAATATCAGATTTACGGTCCAAAGCTCATCACTTCACCACCCATATAGTGTTTTGTTTCACACAAGTGGTGTGACGGCATTACTTAGCCAGACATTGCCTTTTCTGTATGACGAAAGTAACACTTTGTTCTGAATGCACAGGACCCTTAAGGACTTGCTTCCTGTAAAACTTAATTTTACGTGTCAACTTGACTGGGTTATTGGACACCCAGATAGCTGGTAAAACATTGTTTCTGGGTGTGTCTGTGAGGGCATTTCTGGAAGAGATTAGCATTTGAATTAGGAGACTAAGTAAAGAAGATCTGCCCTTACCAATGTAGGCATCATCCACTTCATTTGGGGGTCCTATATAATAAAAGATAGAGAAAAGGTGAATTCCTTCTGTCTTCTGGAGCAGGGATATTTATCTTTTCCTGCTCTTGGACATCAAAGCTCCAGGTCCTTGGACCTTTAGTCTTTGGGACATATACCAGTGGTCACAGTGATTATCAGGCCTTTGGCCTCAGGCTGAGAACTATACCATTGATTTCTCTGGTTCTCAGGCCTTCAAATTATTAATTACTCCACCAGCATTTTTGGGTCTCCAGCTTACAGGCTGTAGATGGTGAGGCTTCTTGGCATCCATAGTCAAGTGAGCCAATTCCCATAAGAAATTCCCTTTTATATTTCAGATTATACTACAAGGCTATAGTTACCAAAACAGCATGGTACTGTATAAAAATAGGCACATAGATCAACGGAACACAGTTGAGAAGCCAGAAATAAGACCAAATACAAAGCACACAAAAAAATCAAATGGGGAAAGAACACTCTATTCAATAATTGGTGCTAGGAAATCTGGCAAGCCAAATGTGAAAGAATGATACTGGATTCTCATCTCTCACCTTATACAAAAATCAACACAAGATAGAACAAAGACTTTAATCTAAGACCTGAAACCTTAAAAATTATAAACGCTAGCATGAGAATATTTTTTGTAGATATTGACTTAGGCAAATAATTCATGACTCAGAATCCAAAAGCAACTGCAACAAAACCAAAAATAAATAAATGGAACCTAATTAAACTAAAAAGCTTCTGCACAACAAAATAAATAATCAGCAGAGTAAACAGACTACTCACAGAGTGGGAGAAAATACTTGCAAACTATGCATCCATCAAAGGACTAATATACAGAATCTATAAGAAACTCAAACAAATCAGTAAGAAAAACACAAATAATCCCATCAAAAAGTGGACAAAGGACATGAATAGACAATTCTCAAAAGAAGATATACAAACAGTCATGAAACTTATGAAACAAAAAATGCTCAGTATCACTAATTATCAGGAAAATGCAAATTAAAACCAAACCACATTGAGATACCATCTTACTCCTTCAAAAGTAGCCATAATTTAAAAAATGAACAAATAACAGACATTGATGTGGATGTGGTAAAAAGGGAACAATTTACACTGCTGGGCGGAATGTAAACTAGTACAACCACTGCGGAAAACAGTATGGAGATTGCTTAACGAATTAAAAGTAGAGCTGCCATTCAATTCAGCAATCCCACTACTGGGTATCTAACCAAAGGAAAAGAAGTCATTATCTGAAAAAGACTCATGCACACACATGTTTACAGCAGCACAATTCACAACCTCAAAAATATGGAACCAACCTAAATGCTCTTCAACCAATGGGTGGATAAAGAAAATGTGGTTTATATACACCATGAAATACTACTCAACCATAAAATGGAATAAAATAATGGCCTTTGCAGCAACTTGGATAGAGCTGGGGGCCATTATTCTAAGTAAAATAACTCAGCAATAGAAAACAAAATATTATATGTTCTCACTTAAAAGCAAGAGCTAAGCTATGAGGATGCAAAGGCATAAGAATAATATAATGCACTTTGGGGACTCAAGGGGAAAGGGAGAGAGGGGAGGGATAAATGACTACCTATTGGGTATAGTGTACACTGCTCGGGTGATGGGTGCATCAAAATCTCAGAAATCACCGCTAAATGACTTATCCATGTATCCAAAAACCACCTGTACCCTGAACACTCTTGATAGTTTTTCTTAAATCCCTTTTGTATGTCTATCTCATTCACTCTGCCTCTCTGGGGAAGCCTGAGAGATTTAACCCCCATCTGCCTGTCTATGCTTGTGTATAACCAGCCCTCACACTCTGCATCCCATTCACACTGAGATACTGCTGGGTCCTCAAACACACCATGCTCTTTTCTATTCCAAGCCTTTGCATGCTAAGATTCTCTCAACTTCAGATAGTCTGTGAAATTCTTACACATTCTTTAAGATTGAGAAAGGTCAGCCCCTCTTTAAAGAGTGCCTTGAACTCTCCAAGGTAAACTGTGAAAACTCTACTACCCCATTGTGGGATGGGATCTGTCTTCAAACCCATCTATAATACCAGCATTGATTTGTCTAGATATCTCTATTCTCCTACACCTTCTCTATAAAGCATTTGGGAGAAGGGACAATTTTGTATTAACAGAATCTAGCCTGGAGCCTGGCACGTCTGAAAGTGATTAAATTTAATTGTATCTATTCTTAACAAAGTCAGGAATAATGCCTACAACCCACAGATTCCCTTGACTTTACTCAACTTCTCATAAATGACTCAACTTTGCATCACTATGAGCCTGGTTCTCAGCCCACGATGGATATTCATTCAACTTTCTCATTGCCTTAAAAACAAGAGATGCTGTCTCCCCTCACAGTTTCTAGAGTTAGACACTTTCTGTTTTCCATGATTGTTGCAAAGACACTGAAATTCTCTTCTTCGTCTTCCTTAGCATGATCCAACCACACCTCCTTTGATATCTCAGTATGTGCTGCACCTTGTAAGGAGTGGATCCCCCTACTGGAATGCTGGAGTCTGCTCACATGGGTCAGCTGTGCACATCGCATCCCACCTCCACATTCACTGATGCTACGTTGGTAATTTGAAGTCTGCTGCAGTGAAGGGTTATAACACCATGGAAATGAGCAGATGCTACAAGTCAGAGAGAGGCAGAGATGAAACATAGAAATGTAAAGATAGAAATAGAGATAGAGCTGGAAAGAGAGAAGGAGAATGAGATTTAAACTAAGGCTCAAAGATGTTACAAAACTTGCTCAAAGTCACGTAAATATGACAGAGCCATGATTCAACCGCAGATATGTCTATTACCCTAACATCATATGGATTTCCTCTCAACTCTCAGCTAAGCCCTTTAAATTTCCTTTTTCCCAGCCCCCTCACCTGTGAGTCCACAAGCTGCCTTATACTTGCATAATGCTAAATTGCTAGAAGTATGCTCAGAGTCAGGGTTCACTCTCAAATGTTTACTGAAGAAATAACAAAAAGATAGAAGGAAACACCTAGAAAAGCTATTTTGGTGATTTCTTCCCTCTGCCTTCTAGCGAGAGGGTGAGCCATCCATCTCTCAGTAATCATCTGATATATTGTACTACATCAAGCAAGTCTGTACCATGTATTGTTACCTCAGTATGTTGTCCTTTCTTTATGAAGCTGAATGGACTCTAATGTGTGATAGGTGCCAAAAAGAAAAAAAGTGGGAGGTTGTTACTTTCAGACCCAGAATTTGACTATGAATCATACTTGGAACATACAGGTGCATAGAAGCACAAAATGTTCCAGGGTATAATTTAAGTTTCATTTTTATGTACTTCTATACAAAAGAGAGTGCACGTATTTGATTGACTGTATTGTATCATTCGTTTATCTTGAAAACTGACCTGAAATACTACCACTTGAGATATGCCCAAAAGCCCCAACGGCATTCATCAGAAGAATGGCAAAGGAATCTGAGTACCTGAAACTTTAAGGCTTATAGAAACTTCCCTTTTAAAAGGAAGCTGTTAAACTCTGTGTGTGCTTCTAAATCAAGTAAAACTATGACTTAAGGCAGGTGTCAGGGAAATGTTTTGCACTTTTAAAGATGAGAAGATAGAGACTCTAAGGTAAGTTGATTCCTGATGTCCTTATGAGTCAGTGAAATTATCCAAGAAAACAAATGGATTCCCTCTGTGTTAGTGGAAGCCTCGTCCTATATGGGGAATAAAGATATTATCATTATTGTTCCGAGGGACGGACTTCCACAAAGCAGGATACACATGCAAATTTCTAAGTTTCCAGTACTTTCTTCAAACCTCAAATTTGAACATTCTCAGCAGCTGCTAAAAAGAGAAATAAACGTTTTCATCTGGGTAAGTTAAATGAAAATTGAAATGTTAAAACATTAGCATAGCTATCTTTCTCTGGGAAGAACATGGTTATTTAGGTCCTTCTTTAACTAGGAGATGGAGATTGTGCCTGTCCAGCTCCTCCAGGAATTGACAGCCTGGCTTTCTACTGCTCCACGGAGACTTATAAAGTGTCTCCATGTATTTTAAATGAGAAAAAATACAAATACTCCGTCAGTAAATCCTTTCTCATTTCTTGTCAATATCCACCCCTCCCATCATCTCGTGTTGACAGGACCGATTTGCAGAAGGAGGGTTTAACATTACAGACACCCTTTCATCAACTTAAAAATTGAGATGAGTCAATATTTACATCATGTTGCTGATCTTTAAAGTACATACCCCGTTTTCTGTTCTAATAAATAGCTGTCACTCTTTCCTCCATCAGAGCTTAGCTGAGAGTGGGTTGGCATGCTCAGTGGTCCCCGTATTCCGGGAACGATCTAATATTTCACATCTCGCATGTGACAGCAGGTCGATTCTTTCTCTCTCTCTTTCATATTGGTTTGCAATGACAGACCTTATAAAACCATTTAGGTCGGCTTAAAGAAGAAAAAAAATCCATAAGCATGATGGGTTTATCTGTCTTCAGAAATGCACGGTCTAATATTTAGTGAAAGAACATAGGCAGTATGTTTGTTATCTATTTTGCCATGCAATTTTCAGAGCATATTTTTTACTAAAACACTAGATGCGACTACTATGTTTCTATTTCTTACCAATGAAAAGAAGTTAATATTGAACTGGAAAAAGAGGAAAACCTTCCGACCTTTAGCCAGAGAGTTTATAACCATAGCAGTGCAAGATAGCCTGTACAGTACAACATAGCTTGTTCAAGATCCCTTTACTCTGTGAGTGCTCTCACTTAGCCCCTGGATAAATTTAATTGGGGTTTATTCATGGCACAGCTTTTCCAATGGACCCACACTGATCACAGAAGAACTTCCAGATTAGTTTTATGTGTCTTATTGTTCTTAGGTTTTGGCTGTTGTTGGTTCTTACTTTCCAAAATCACTGGTATGGTTCAGGAGCACAGAGGTGTCTAGATCAGAAATAAGCTTTCCTTTTGGACCATCTGTCTCTCACACTGCAGAAAGCCAACTTCAGAAGAGCCTGCTAAGTATGGTTTTTAAAAATTAAGCGAAAAGGACAGGAGAAGAGATGATCTGAGATATTATAGCTATCTTGACATCCTTGAGGGGATGTCTATTTTACAAATGTGGGTTAAGGATTCTGAGATAAAGAGCAAATGAGGGTAAGAACTTTATGCCCAAACTTACACCGCATATCTGCAGACAAAATAAGAAAGTGTGACGCCAAAGCAGATGTCCATTTCCCGTATTTGCCTGCCTTCCTCACGCTATCCAATAAAGATGTGAGCTGTGAGCACCCAATGGAAACATCCAGCAGAGGCAAGAGGGGTCTTTATGTGCAATGCTGTGGTTATGGATTCAGCTGTGTGTGTGTTTGTGTGTGTGTGTGCACGCGCGTGTCTGTGTGTGTGTGTGTGAGAGAGAGAGAGAGAGAGGGGGAGAGAGAGAGAGGAGGTGAGAGCCAGGCCTAATTCCAGCTTGATTTGCTCTATTTCAACGATTTGGTGATAATCTGTTGTTTTAAGGAAGCACTCTAATGCAGTAACTAAATCTCATGATATATTTGCATGAACTATTTGAATAAAAGATGCTTAAGTATCATGTGTGATTATTAAGATCAGTTAACAAAAAGCATTTCAGAATCCGCAAGTTCAAACAAGACAAAGCTGAAGAGAGCATGAGTAAAGCTCAGCCTCTGATATCCTCTGAAATTCATCTCTGAACTCAATACCTGCTGAGATTTGAATGAGGGGTGTTCCCTCAAAAACAAATGGTGAAATTTAATCCCCAATGCAACAATATTAAGACCTGTGTCCTTTGGGGTGATTAAGTCATGAGGACTCTTATACAATCATAGGAGGTCGAGGAGAGCACTCTCTTCTCCTCCTCCCTTGTAAGGACACAGCATCTCTCTCCCCTGGAGGATCTGGCAACAAGGCGCCATCTTGGAAGCAGAGAGCAGCCCTCACCAGACACTAATCCTGCGGACGTCTTAATCTTGGACTTCCCAGCCTCGCAGACTATGAGAAGTAAATTTTTATTGTTTACAAATTACCTAGTCTGTGGTATTTTGTTATAGCAGTATAAATGACAAAGACAGTAACGACGTACGTCTGTCTTTGAAGTACGATGAAGGAACATTTCCACGTGGCTAATGATTCAGCTTTTACAGTGGATTTGATGTCAGCAGGTATTTTTCAGCTCTACCTGGTTACACATGACACCTAAAGTTACTTCTTATGCTTTATCAATAGCAGTTCCCAAACCACCAAGATGAAAGGAAAATCCTACAAATAGATGAAGAGAAATTTAAAATCCTCAGATGGAAGTGGAACATGTCTAAACTATCAATTATAAAGGGCACATTAGTAATTATGTTGATACACATTCAATAATTCATTATGCTATTGATTGATCAGCAAGCAGGTCAGTTTCAACCCTTGACCCCATAGTTTTCTAGGCAATTTCTCTTGTAAAATAGAACAATGTTCTTTTTCCTGCATGACACCAGGGAGCTGGTGAGAATTGTTTTATAGATCTTTCCTCTGTTAATGGCTGCTTTGTTTTGTTTTAGTTTGGCACAGTGGATTAGCCATTACGTGATGAGTTTTTATTATTATAGTTTCCAAAGTATGAGAGGAAATGAGGTAAATGATTAATAGCAGAGTAACTTAAAGTAAGATGGAATTATATAAAGCCATTGAAAAATAGATGGGAAGTGCAGCCTCCCAAATGGACCTTGGTTCAGCTCCAAGGGTAACAGTCTTATCAAAGGTGTCACAAGGTTTTATTCATGATCCCAAGTACGAGGACTCTCGGTATTCAATCTTAGCAACTGCACAATACCATGAAGCAACAGGAAGCTTCCCAGCCCTGGCGTGTGATCCATCCTGTCTCAGAGGGAAGCCCTCTTTGCTCCAGGTCTAGCATCATTTTTATACATCAACCCCTCTTTATTTTGACTTTCTGAAGTTGCAGTGTAATTCACTGCTACTTTGGAGATTTTCTTAGAGACCACTCGCATACACTTCAAATGAGCATGGTTTTGTTCTGTTTTATGTTTGTTTGTTTGCTTGCTTTTTAACACTGTTAAAGAGTTTGATGGGTTGATTTTGGTCACAGGACCAGGAGACCTAAATGCTCTTTCTGTTTCAGGTTGCTTTTACAGCATAAACAGAGGTGATTTCATTTAAAATGCAGCCTGCACTGACATCAGGATGTTATTGTGCTACTGGGAAGATCAGTTGGCGAATGTGTATGAGTGATTCCAGATGAAAGTGAGGTCACCCAATCAACTTGATAAATAGAGCTCATAGCATAACATCCCACATTCTTACATATCTGAAATTTAAAAATAATAAATAATGCTGAATTATTTTACTCTTAAGAGTACAAGTGAATATTGTCTTCTGTGAAGCATAATGGAGAACCCACACCAGCTCATAGAAGGCAGCCAGCATTTTATAAATACCTCATTTTCTTCACTGGTTCTATCCTTATCATTATGACAACAGTGGATACTATTAGTTTTTAACTAATGGTACTAACTAACAATAATTATGAGGAAAATTGCCAGTGTTCTACACATACATATTTCACTGAATCCCCAAAAGAGTAAGAGGTGGATTTTATAATTACCATCCCTTTTTACAATGCTGATGCTAAAATCTCTGGTCAAGTGCTTTATCAAAGGGGCTCAATTAGGACTTGAATTCCATATTTTGTTTGATGCTATATTACTTTTAGGAAAGATTTTGAGGAGTGGGAGGTCTCACTAGAAATACATTTCTAAAGGCCTTGAGAGTTTCTTTAGCTGAGAATTCCCAAAGCAGCTTAAAGAATTTTGCAAGAACTGAGTTGCTGATTCTTTTATGTCAATTTGCCACCAAGATGATTTTTTTTTTCAGAGGAAAAACCAAAGATAGAACAGTATTTTTCCACTCTGACCTTCCTGCCTGCCTTCACCCCACCCCATTTCATTCATGCTGCTCCTTAGGCAACAAAACAAATGGGACAAATCTGTATATACTTTCATAAGATAAATTCATCAGGTGAGGGAGAAAGATGATTTAGATTAACCATGTGTTGTGCAGGCAAGTTCAATGGAGAGAGAGATTAAGTAAAAACCTAACAAGGATACAAGCACCACCTTCACCAAGCAGGACACATGGACAAACAAGGACTCCCCAAAAGAACCCAGGGATAGGCGAGCATCCCAGGAATAAAACAGAATATTCAAATCATATTTGTGAAAAAATTACATTTTCTACTACGTTTTCTTATTTTTATATATTAAAAAAATTTCAATGCCCAGTCTCTTCTTATTTTATAAAAAGTTGATAAATATCCTTTTCATCATCTCAACTCTTGTCAGTTCATGGATGGTTTATTCAGTTTCACCTTTTAGTCTCACTTCATGGTATCCTGCCTGTACTTCTCATAAGAGAAAAACTCCAGCTCAGAATCAGATGCCCTCTAGAGAAAGGCTGGCTTGACTTTGTTGTGTGTCTGCAACAAATGACTTATTTTTTCAATAAAACCCTCATTGTGGCTTGGTAACTATATGTTACCTTCTTTCTGAAGAGCCCAAGAGGCCACAGAGATCATTTCCAAAGTGAACTATTGAGCATTGCAGTGCTGTGCATCAGGGGAGCAAGACTTAGATGGTAGGGGAAGAAGGTTTACAAGAGACCAGGGAGAGGAAAGGGAGATCATCAGACAGCTGTCACTCCGTGTCTCTTAAAAACACATTGGCGGTGAGTATGAATGCTTGACAAAGAGGAAATTCAACACTAGAGGGACGACCCATAACTGCTATAACTCAATGCTTCCTGCATTTTTATACAACTTTGTTATTGTACAGGTTGTTAAATTGATACCTTAATTACATGCATTGTGGCCAAGTTATAGCTGTCATGAGAGGCATAAATCTGGTCTTTTTGACATGCTCTCAACCAGATCATTTTGTTAAGGATAGTTGTGGATACAATTTTGATGTCAAAAGGAGATATGCAATACAGAGATTTACTTCACCACTAAATAAGTACAACTGTTCTCTACCCTGCTGCTGATGGATGTGTTTTGTTTAAAGAGTGAAGTATACCCCGATGTCAAATTTTGAAGGAAATTTATGTTGCAGAATTTTAAAATGAAGCTCTCTTTCTTGGCAAATTGAATAGGTAGTTTAAATTTATAGTCACTATTGCAAAGATTGATTCAATTAGGACTTCTGAAAATTCATTAAAATATAGGCTTTGGGGATTTACAAATTATATATCTATTAAATCTATCAAATAAGTAAGGTTTTGGTCTTTGGGGTAAATGGGTCTCTTGTTTTTCTAGCAAATGATTGCACGGTTTGATTTTCTTTGTGTTAAACCACAACTGATTTCTTCTATAATTTTATTCTCAGCACCTGTCATCAGTCTTACCTATCATGAATCTCCTTTTATGTACTTCAATTTCAAGCCACTCTTCTTAAACAAGGATGCACACAAAACTATATGCAACTATTCTTGCCCAATATAGATGGAATATATTTGGTCTTCTGCTAAATTACTTTATGTTACCAAAAAAGAAGCATAAGCTTGTGTGGTACATTTTGCTATTAGTTTGGAGTTTCAAACTTATTCTATAATCCTGGATCTGTACTGTATGGAAGCAAGAGCTGAAATGGGATAACTCATCAAGAAATAATTTTAAAACTCTTTACTTAAAGAAATACATAGGACACTCTCATTCAGACATAAATGGAAATATCCTAAATAGTTATTTACATAAACCGATCTCTATGCCTTTCATTGGAACTGAAAGCATAACTAGACATTCTTTACCTGAGCTGTGAAGGTATTAAAATGGAAAACTAAAAGTATTTTTTGGAAGGATAAGCCTTCTGGTTTGTTATGTTGGTGAAGCAACTGAATGACAGGGACTGGGGTGTGAAAGCAACTTTTTGTCAATGTATACTTCTGTTGCACCTGCCAATTTTGAATCATATAAATGCTTCATCTAGTTACAAACAAAGTCTTTTAAATTGTTATTGGCAACATTTAAAATACTTTTAGATGTTTAACCTATCTATCTTGGTAGGCATGACTTGCAATTAAATTGCTGGAGGTTTCATGGGAGCACAAGCAGGAAAGAGGGTCTACTTAAATTAGGGAGAGAAAAAAATTAGACTCTGAGCTAAATGGACGCTTAAGGACCATCTGCTACAAATCCTATACCTTTAAACTGAGACTTGGTAGGTTAAGTCACTTTTCCAAGTTCACACTGCTGATAAGTGGCTGAGCTGGTCTTCAAGTCTATGACTATAATTCCAAAGTGTGGGGTCTCTAATGACGAGCTTCATTCTTTGACTCTGAGCAATTAACTTCTGTAGGATTCTATTTTGTTATCTAGAAAATGACAATGGTCACACGTAACTCACTAGGCATTTGTGAGAAACACATGTTAGTAAAGGGAAAATAAGGAGCTGGACACTTAGCAGGGAGCTCTGGCATTGATTACTGGAATTTGCAGCGGTAGTTAAGCAGTGGCAGAAGTGGTTCAGTTATAGTAGAATTTGGGTGAGAAATCATGACTGAAATTCAGGCATTAATGCACAGCTGAATGCCCTTTCCAATAAACCATGTTTTAATTTCCTCAAACAGAATTCATTATTTGTGGAAGATTGTTTGTGTAGTTTGGCAATATGCAATTTGGAGTTACTGTATTTATTAAGAGCTTACATGCAATATTTTCCTCTGCATCCTTTGTGGCTGCCTTTTTGAAAAAGAAAATGAAAACAACACACACGCATTTGGATTCAATTTCCATCTCTTCAGATGACTAGCCACATTATCGTCTGTGAGTCATTTTGATCCTACGAACCTTACATTCTTCATCTATAAGAAAGGAATAAGATACTTCTTTACTTAAAGTAAAGGATCATTGTAGGGATTAACATTTTAAAATGAATTTGAACATACCTTTAATCTTAAGGTGCCTTACTTTCTGCTCCAAATGCAAAGGTTTTATCTGGTGAGTTGACTGGTGGAGAAGCTGAGAATTGGTTTAGAGTCACAAAGATGGGGTTTCCAACACTGCATGCCTCTCCTACAACTCTGGGAAACATCCTTATCTATTCTAAGCCTCAGTCTCCAATATACTTCTTAGGGTTATTTCTGAAATCACAACAGATAGAGTACATAAAATGCCTGGCACACAGTACATTTAAGAAATTGCAGCTATTTTAATTATTTTTAGTAGACCAGAGAAGAAAGAGCCACAGAATCGTTAGTGATATCAGAGTCTTAGCCTCTTAGCTGTATCCAGTGAAGAGTAAAATTACACTTTCACTCATCCCCAGTTTCTCTCCAGTGCTTAAAATTGTTTTCTGAGGCTCAGAAGCATCAATATAGGTAATTCTTAACCATGAAAAATGGAATTTCAAAATTTTTCAAATTTATGACAATAAGCTAGCCAGATTGCTATCATCTGCTTCTCATAATAAAAATCAGAGGGCACCTTGTGCCCACTGGAGGAGGGCATGAGAAGTGTTCTGGTCAGCCTTGTTCCTATGGTGATAGAAGCATTTAAGCAGACGCCCTGGAGGCAGTTAGCTATCACTGTCATGTTGGCTAATAGTGGCAGGGTGACATCGATCCACATGGTCGACTTTATTCATGTCTCCAGTCAAAACCCTAATCACTTTGCTGATTCTTCCTCAGTCAAACAGGTAGTGAATGACAGTCATTTAAAATCCCAAACTTTGAAAGTCAGTGTGCTAGAGCTCAAAGAAAGATTGCAGAGGCAAGTCGGAGACTCTCAGCTCATTATGGATTAAGTTGTCAGTTCTTGAGAGTAGCTTTCTTTGTGTGTGTGTGAGTGTGTGCATGTGTGTGTATGTATTGTGTGTTCTACATGTGTTTTGAAGTGGCAGGCACAGAGATACTCTCTTAGATACCCCTTCTAGGAAGGACTTGCTACCTAGCGGTAAGCTGTGTGGTCACCAGATAACTTTCAGCTCTCAGTAACTTCAGAATCTGTCTCAGCTGCTGAAAGCTGCCTTACCTAATCCCATATCCTTCCCAGGACAGCGACAGCCCATAGCTGAGCCAGGTGGAGTTAGAAAGTCCTGCCCTAGGGCTGCCCACTGAGCTGTCTGAGGTCACTCAGGCTTTTCCAGGCCTGTACTAGAGTTTAACTTCTCTACTCAATCCTGCTTCCCCTATTTCTTTTGCAGATATTGATCTCCAATCACCATTTTACACCTCAGACTTTCTTGCAGCACCTGGTCCCTGAGAACTAATTCCTGCAACATATAGGATTGAGGATAGCCCAAGATAGCAGGATGGAGTTTGGACCTAGATCACCCACAGCTCAGCAGGCAATGGGAAACTCATCATTGACGGTAGGTAGAACACAGTCCCTGGCACAAGGTGGCTTTTGAACTGGTAAAAATTTGACCTGTGGTAAATTGAGAGGGTACCTAGTTGGGAGAGAATGTGCAGCTGGACATGAAGTTCTAGGCATTCATATGTATAAGGAAAATAATAGCTATAAAGATATGACATTAGATGGTTATTGCTAAGCAATGTTGCTCTTTACTTAAAAATAATGAAGAGCTGAGGGAGTGAAGTATAAGTAAAAGACAGGTGCAAAACAGAAGTCCTCTCTATTGGAAATAGTGCTGCAATAAACATACGTGTGCATGTGTCTTTATAGCAGCAAGATATTGTGCACATGTACCCTAGAACATAAAGTATAATAATTAAAAAAGTCCTCTCTAGTTGCATACAAAAAAGCCCTGATCTCTTCTAGCAGGGGCATACAGAAGCCGTGTGCCAAACCTAAGGCTTACTATCAAAGTGGCTGAACTTCAAAGGGAGTTCAATGCATTGGTTTGTGACATGTCCAGATAGGTCATCCCTGACCCTTAATATTAGTTTTTATCATGTTTTCTTCTAACACTTTCATACTTTCATATCTTATGCTTAATCCTTGGCTCCATCTACAACTTAATTCCATTTATAAGGTTGGGTCTATATTTACAGTTTAAAATGTTGAACAAAACTGCTTTAGATTTAAGCCATTTTAAAAATAGCTACTGTGTTTTATTCATTTATTTCCAATAGACAGGACTCAGTTCTCAGTGCATCTTAAATGACTAAATAAATAAACATGCCATACCAGTATTATCTTGGTGGTAGGAAATTTGGGATTTCCACCATTAGGTAAGTAGGATAATAGATTTTAACGAGAAAAATAAAAAATGATTGGGAAAGCTCTAAAGAATTGTATATGTAATGTGTGATTCAATGAAAGTGTTTAGAAAAAGGGAGGCATATAAGCAAAGATTGCAATCCCTCATATACAGAAGCTTTAAAATTAAACTGTTTTAATCTTTTATATTACTATAAAATTAAACTGTTTTAAAAATTAAACTGTTTTAATCTTTTATATTATTTATCTATTTCTATTTCGCTATTTCTCTTTTATATTATTTATCTATTTCTATTTTTCTTTGTTGTTATGAAATAACCGAACTCAGTAAGGAGCTCTCTGAGTGGCTGTACTTCCTGCTTGTATAAAAAGGGAAGATACTCAACCCAGCTTGGCTTCCTGTTGGTTTATTTATTTTACTTATTATAGCTCTGGCTAATTAACAATTAGTGATCATTATTATATTGTTATTGAGTAGTTGAGTAGTGTATTGAGTAGTTTTTATTACGCTAAAGAAAACATAACAGTTATCCAAGAGAGAAGGTTTTCCGTGATGCCATATTGGAAAAAAAAAAATTAACAAGTCAATCTTTATGTAATTCTGGGTCCATGGAATTAACATTATCGTCAAAATGGCTTTATCAAACAAGCAGAAGTGATCTTTATATGATTAGTTCTGGGATCAAACTTCTGTAAAATAATGTATACTATCACAATAAGTTACTGAATGTATTTCAGAAAGGTGACCCATCTGTTGAGATGAGGCTGATTGTGTACTTTCCTGTTATTCTGAGTTCATAAAAGGATACAATTAAATATATTTTATGTATATGTGTATGTATATATGTACATACATAATTCATAGTTACATACTTGCTTATTGTTGATAGATAATTATCCATGGGCATCTACCATTTTAACATATTTTGTGAGCAGAGACACTGAATGCCTTTGTTGCCTTTGCTCTGGCAATTTTTTCTTTTTATTTTCCTTGTGTGTTTTTTTTTTTTTTTTAGAGACAGGGTCTTGCTCTGTTGCCCAGAGTGCAGGGAGAGGGGCAGAATCATGGCTCATTGAAGCCTCAATCTCCCAGGCTCAAGCGATCTTCCCACCTCCGCCTCCCAAGTAGCTGGGACTATAGGTGTGTGCTATCATGCTCAGCTAATTTCATTTTTTGTAGAGACACAGTCTCACTATATTGCCAAGGCTGGTCTCAAACTTCTGGTCTCAAGCAATCCTCTCACTTCAGCCTCCCAAAGTTCTGGGAATACAGGTGTAAGTCACCTCCACCTGGTCTTGCTCTGGCAATTTTTTCAGGGAAGTGTATATAGCAAAAAGTATTGAAGATGGAGATATTATCTCCTTTTGGAAAGAGAGGCATACTTACATCATTATAAAAATTTAGTTCCCTAAGCTCTGGGTTTCTCTGCTGTATGCAACCCACTGAAAATGCCATCTGTTCCACTGCTTGTCACCCTGTCAGAACTGGGGCTTAGGGAAGCAGTGGAAGAAAACGTGGATATTCTGGCTACTGCTTTTGCTTTGACTAATAAAGCCCTTGTTTATTACCCTGGAGTTTCATGTCTACTGCTTGCATCTACAAAATTGTGATAGAGTAACTTATTAGCTTGAACATAGGGTAAAATCTCACACTCTTCACCCATTCTGGACAACTATTTATTTAGATACAGAATTCTGAGTAGATGACACATCTTTTACATGTTATTTTTTAAAAACTAAATTCTTTTCTCATAGGTTCTGAAAAACAATCAAGATAAAATTGATATTTTGTTATGAAGATGGAGAGGCTAGATTTATCTTTTTCACGTAAGAGAGGATTTTTCTTCTCTGCTGAGGTCTAAGCAGAGTTACCTAGAGGTTGGGTTAACAGATACCTCTAATGGCAATTTTAGAGCCAATACAAGACACTAAAGTCTTAGGTACTAGATTAGTCAAGGTTTTCTAGAGAAACAGAACCTGTAGGATATATGAATATATGTGTGAATATATAGATATCTGTGTATATGTATATGTATATACATACATATATACATACATATATGTATATATGATATATCACATATATATTTGATGTACATATACATATACATACACATGTATCTGTATATTCATATGTATATTCATATATCCTACTGGTATAGATAGATAGATAGATAGATAGATAGATAGATAGATAGATAGACAGACAGATAGAGAGATCTATCTATCTTAAGGAATTGGCTCATATGATTATGGAGATTACCAAGTCCAAAATCTGCAAGGTATTTAGGTATTAGGGATCCAAAATCTGCTGGATATTTAGGGATGAGCGGATCTTGCAGTTCAAATCTGAAGATCATTTGCAGGAAGATTTTCTTCCTGCTCAGGGGAGGTCCCTCTTGTTTTATGAAGTCCATCAAGTGAGTGGATGAGGCCCACACACATTTTGGAGGGAAATCTACTTTACTCAAAGCTCACTGATTTAAATCTTAATTTCATCCAGAAAAGGAAAAAAAAAAAAAAACAACTCATCAAAACATTCAGAATAATATTTAACCAAATATTTGGGCACTGTGGCCCACGAATTGAACAATAAAGGTAATAATCACTGGTACCATTGTATACTAAATACACAGCAGTCACTGCAAATTAAAAAAAAATAGATTCACTGGTCTAATAATTTTAGAACATATTCTATACGAATTTATCTTCCTTGATACATATGATGCATATTAATATATTAAATGTTCTGAAAAATCTATAGTAAACCTATTAAACTTTCTTAGACTAAAAAGCAAACATCTCTGATCATATACCACTTTTCTGGGCAACATCTATTAACAATGAATGAGACTAGCATTTGATAAGACACTCTATTAAATACAGTCGTAGTTCATTTGTGTTGGTGTAAGGAATACCCAAGGCTGGGTAATTTATAAAGAAAAGAAGTTTACTTGTCTCGTGGTTCTGCAGGTTGTACAAGAAGCATGGCACCAGCCTCTGTTTCTGGTGAGTGCCTCTGGACACTTACAATACTGGTAGTAAACAAAGGCGAATAGGCATGTAGAGATCACATGGTGAGGGAAGAAGGACGAGAGAGGAGGGAGGTGCCAGGCTCTTTTTAACAACCAGCTCCCACAGAAACTCAAAGAGTCACAACTCACTCGCTGCCTTCCTAAGAGAGCATTGATCTAGTCATGTGGGATCCGTTTTTCTGACTCAAACACCTCTCAATAGGCCCCACTTCCAACACTGGGGATCGCATTTCAACATGACACTTGGAGGGGATGAATATTCAAATTATAGCAAATACTTCTATGGAATATGACAGAGATGATATTTTTCAACTGTAAAACCCAAGGTTTTACTCACCTTGATTGTTTTAGAACTTTGCAATGGAAGTTACTGAATATTTACTCATCTATCCAATGTTTAATTATGGCTTGCCTTTATGAGTTTCCTATTTCAATATTAGGAAGTAAAGGTAATTTTTGAAGGGGACTTGCACTGTGTTACACAGTCTTAGCCTAAATATATCTTCTCTGTATGTTTTGCATTTTTCAAGCCTTTTTTTTTAAAATGAACATGCACTTTAGACTACCTGCAAATAATATTACTTTTAGAAGCCTAGAGTCTATACCAAAGCTCCACACACATTTTCTAGAAAAAGCCTGATAGTAAATATTTTAGGCTTTGCTGGCCATGTGTCTCAACTAGTTAACTCTGCCATATATAATACGTAAGTAAATGAATATGGCTGTGTTCCAATAAAATTTTATTTACAAAAAGAGGTGATAGATAGGATTTGGCCCAAAGGCAGTTATTTGCTAATCCTTTAACTAGAATAGTACTTTAGAGAAATGAGAAAAATAAAGTGAGCTATGAATGGAAAACTATATAATTTTAAATTTTCTAGTAGCTCCATTAAAAAGTAAAAGGAAGCATACAAAATTAATTTTAGTAATATATTTTATTTAATCCAATATATGTTAGCATTTAAGTATGTAATCAATATATACACTATTAATGTGACACTTTGCAGTCTTTCTTTTCTAAAAATCTTTGATATCCAGTGTGTATTTTATACTTTCACTGTACCTCAAGTAAGAATAACCACATTTCAAGTACTCAACAACCACACATAGCTAGTGACTATTATATTGTACATTATGTCTACATTTCTTACAT